CGCAAGTGCTTCACCGAGGACGACAAGGCAATCATCCGACGTGATGTTGAAAGCCGAAAGAGGAAAGCAAAGTCATCCAAAGACGTCGAAGACGAGGACTACATGGATGTGGATGATGAAGATATTGAACTTCCCGAAGAAGAGCCGGAACTAGGAGGTAAGGTACCACCTCACTCTCCGAGAGCCAAAGGTAGACCACACTCGTCAGACTCTGCAAAAGAGGAATACGCGAAAGCGGTCGAGGCAACCAAGAAGGCCTTTGGGAACGCCAGTTTCGTCACCAGATTCAAAGAGCCCGTCGACCTCTTTGACATTGCCGATGACAAAGAAGGAGGAGAGTACAGGGTCGCAAATCACAGGGTTGATAGATCAGGTCCTAATGGAAAGTGGGAACTTGATGCACTTATTCAGGAGGCTGCAGCACTCGGAATAAAGATGCCCAAAGTGAAGGACCTTGCTCCTGACCCACAACAAGTTCAAAAGGTTGGATATCGACAGATTGAGGTGACTTGCGATAGAGGAAACATCGAGATAATTCCACAGTATGGAGTTACATTCTATGTGGAGTACTGGAATGGACCGAAGAGAGATGCAACTTTCACGGATCCACCAAAGATGAACCCAGCAACTCGCATCGACAAGTTCAGCGAGGAGAGTCAACGGGTCAACGAGGTTAGCCATAGACTCAATAGACTACTCAGGCATGGAGTGGGAAAGCATAATGGGATTCAATCGCACCGCGGTCGAAAACCTCATGTGTCCCCGAAGTGCAATGAGGGTGGATGGGTGAACATCGATGAGATCCTGGAATATGACCATGTCTTCAACGATGGTGTCGATATCAGTACTATCTCAGGTGATCGGCATCGTCAAGATGTCAAGACAGAGCGATACCAGTATTTATGCAAGGCGATGTGGCATGCAAAGAAGTTGCAGAACAGAGTACGCTATCAGATTGCCGCCATTCGCATCTCAAAGGAGGATGTCTCACTCGAAGAGGAAAGGCAATACTGGGCAAACCTCATGTTTTACAGCACAGACGCACCGTCATTTCTGAAGCATGAACGTTGGATCGTTCCTTGTGCAATTCGAGCTGTTGCCTCTCACAATTCTGGAAGAGAGACTGTTCTTGAAGAGGATGTGTCAATATATCCTGTGTGGACTTCACATCTCATTCCAGAGAATGTGGCAATGCAGCTTGGAGGAAGCTTTCACATGACATCGCTTTCCAATATTGAGTCAATCATGAAACTAGGAATTGTCCCTGGTGGAACGGAGGGATATAGAGGTAGTGTTTTCTTCAACCACTTTGCGCCGTGGGATGATCGATCATCAAAGATTCTGAGATCAAGATGGCCAAGAGTGGGAATGCCCGTTTGCCTTTATGTTCCAATCATGACTTTGAGGAAGCTTGGGGGAAGAATTTCGGAGAATTCCTACACTGTTGTTTTTAGAGAAGTTCCATGGAGATGTGTACGAAGTGCTTGGTATTGGGACGACCACGTTCAGGCATGGAGGAGACTCCTGCTGGGAAGCACTGGAGAGCAAGTTGTTCTAGCGGCACGTCATGGACTTTGGGTTGCTCAGAAGCATACCATCCTCGAGAGAGCCGACGAAGTCACGAAGTCAGCCTCGGCGACAGATGACAACGTCCAAAAGCTCGTGTCCCTTATCGATGAAGTACGATTCGATGACAATGGAGAGCTGATCGAGGATTCCATCAGTGAGGAAACTTGGGACGAAATCATCTCCAGAACATGTGAAGGGTATCGCAACGTGGATGGCAATATTTTGTGTCCATCATGTATGCATTTGACTTCTTCATCTTTGTCCGTGTGTCTATCTTGTCAAGGCAGGCTACTCTCGTGTGGTATTCGCAACACTGTCATTTCCGATTCACCCGTTGATCTTGTGAGCGACGATGAAGAGGAAAAGAAGGAAAAGAAGGAGCCTGAAGATGATGATCAAGATATCTTGGACCAGGCCACTATGGACGAGATCAGAAAGGCTTGGGAAGAAGACATCGCTCAAACTGAAGCAGCTGACGACGACGAGGACATGGACAATCTAGATCCTTCCAAACCGTCTGATGGTGCAGAAAACCTCAAGAGTGACAATGTCGAGACCCCATCTTTCAATGAGGACGAGATCGACTACGGTCGTGATTCTGATCTAGAAGATGAAGACGAACGAAACGTGATCATCGAGATCCAGAGGAGCACACAACAATATGAGGGGAAGAAACGTCAAGATGGTGAGCCCGAGGATGAAGACGTCACCGACGACTTACATCCGGAGGCGAATCGACCGACAGATCGTGATGAACCGGGATACTATGCACAGCATGGAGCGACCGAGTTCAATCCCGAAGAAGGAAGAGACAACGAAGATCTCCCCATCTATTGTCGAGTACCGGAACCTCGAATCTATGCGCATCAAGAGAGAGCCTACTGTCAGGACGTCTCCATGAATGCATCGGGTTTGATGGATAGGTATGTGGTCAAATGCGTGCTGAACATGATCTCCCTGATGTACAAGAGCTACTATTGCACCAGCCTTACCGACTTCAAAGCAAATTGGAAAAGGAAGCGACTGGATGTGATAAGCAAGTTCGGTACAGGGGATTCCACTGAAATCGATGACGATGGGAGACCATTGGATCCAACAGATGACATGATGTTAATCTTTGCCAACGACAACAATATTACGACTGAGGAGGCCTGGCACCGATTCAGAGGAGAGCAATTCATTTGCAAGGTGGCACTCGTGATCCTATCATTTGGTCATACTCCGCAATCCTTCAAGAGGGAATATGGCAACTTCGAACACTCCACCAACTTGACTGATGCCCAGCTTGAGGAGTTGAAAGCGAAGAAAGCCAGCGCAATGACTGAATTGGTACAGAAGTGCATCCATGCGATTTATGGGTGTCGGACATATTCTTACTTTAGAACCGACGTTACATCACCCTACCACAAGGTGATCGATCCTCTGGACATCATGTACTCGAGAATGAAGAGCAAGTGGGAGAAGTCTATTCTGTTGATCATTGATCAACATGAGATCAGGTTGCCCCCACAAGCTCAGGAAGTCATAGAGTCAATGGCCAGAAACCCCAACGTTGGACATACAGAGAGATGGATGAGCGTGGTAGAACATAAGCATGTTCAAGCTCTTACCAATCGTCTAGGCTTTGGAGATAGGGCCAAGGAGATTCAGGGCAAGAAGAAGCAGGCAGCCAAGGCAACAGCTAAGTCAACATCAACGACTAAGTCTGAAGCGAAAGCAGCATCTTCATCAAGAGCTGAGGCAAAGCCAGCATCTACACCCAGAACCGAGGCCAAGCCGTCGTCAGCACCAAGTGAGGAGCCAAAACCTTCAACAGCACCTAAGAGTTTTGGGCCCTCATCAACAGAAGGCGCAACTTCTTCATCATCCCGAGGACATTCCAAAGGAGGAGACCAATCTGGAACATCTTGGAGGCCGGCGCTAACGCAAGAACGTCGCGAAGTACCTCAACCTTTTGAAAAGGGGAAGGGAAAGAGCAAGTCCAAGGGAAAGTCCAAGAAGGGAGAAGATGATCGGCGGGATGCTCAGGGCAGCTGGGATCATCGTGGATGGAGAGGTTATCGCCAGTGGTGATTTCTTTGAACGACTATGAGGATACCATGCAAACCAGGGAGGAAGTCATTCACCGGATGTCTATCTGACCTGAAACGCTGTAAGTGTATCATTGCAAATCATCAATACGATTTGATACCATGAGCATAATGGAAGGCAGACAGTCACCGACTGTCTCTCCGACTTGCCGTTCTGTAAGTGTATCCAAATCAAAACCTACATCTTTTGAGAAGTGTGAAGTCAGTTGCCGATGTGACATCTACGTGGAAGTCACCAGTTCGGATCTACATCAAAGCGATGCTCTTTTGAGTGGATACTGAGCGAGGCCTCGTGACTGTCTCACTCGTTCAATTCGATTTTTTTCATAGGTTCTGAGCCATAGTTGCACACTTTATATGTAAAAGTCCGCTTTAGTCCAGCATGTTTCGTAGTATGAGCCTCATATGAGTCTCGCGGCAAATCATACAATTCCTTTTGTAGCACTTACATCCCTAAATTTTCGTGTGTGATCGGAACATATTGTTGCCGTTCACATGGGGGGTGCGAATGGAAGTGCAGCGACACGTACAGTGCAACTTGTACATATATATGTACCATATGTACTTTGGCTCAAGGATCAAGCGACTAGAAAAGGTGCGGTTTCCGTTCCGACGCTACGCCGCTTATGGACCGTCAGTGATAGCTTCAAACTTCGCTGATTAAGATCCACTCGCACTAGGAAACATACCGGTAAAAATAGAAACACTTATATTAAATTGAATCAACAGTTCTATTCTTTGTGGTTGTTCTGACTTTGTAGGCCAGCCTGCTGCCCAAGCACAGCAGCGCATTAACCCTCCTCCTTCCTTGCTCCCTTGCTTTCTTTGTATTTTGTATTTGCAGCATATGAACTCCTATGCTTTTTGCCTACCTACACCATATAATTCTGCACGAACAAGAGCAGCACAGATTGCAAGGAAAATGCATGGAAAAAATGAAGAAACAACAAAGATAGAATGTGCAGAGCTTATATACTATGTTGTTCTGTGTAATTCTGCCGTCTCTGTCTTCCCTTCATTTTCCTTCCGTGATATGTGGTTCCAAAGTCTCTGATCTCTTACCTATAGGAAAAATAAATCTATTCCTTTCTGCTATGTTCATTCATATTTACTTGTTGTGTATACCGTATATATATATATATATTTTTTTTTTGTGGATTTTGCCTTGGGCCTTCCTGCTTGACACACATTTGCATACCGATCTTTGGGGGGGGCTAGCACATATATATATATATATGACATATATATATATATGACATATATATATATATATTCGACTTGAGACGTGACAAGACTCGGATGACTGGGTGGTGTGCACCCCACAGACGCAACCATATCAAGGTCTCAGACCGCGGGGCGGGTTTCCAAACTGGCCGTGGATTGGTCCTGCTGACGGCATTGATTTTGAAGCGCAGTGACCAGAGCAAAAGAAACTTCATAGGCCACTGCTGCGCATATTAGAAGCTGTTCTCTGTTGTATTCTTTTGTCCTTTTTCCCGGAGGTGTTGCACCTTGCCTTGTGCCAGGTGCAACTTCCAGCAGCTCCAAGGAGGCATGAAAACCATAGACTGCAGGGCAGCTGGTTTACAATGCTTGTGTTTAAAGACCCATGCAGAACGTGCTGCAGCCATTGAAGAGAAACCTGAATCCAGAGCAGGCAACCAGTGCAGGTTCTCAGGGTCACCTTTTGTCCTTTCTCATGTCTAAGAGTCGATGGAGCCTAGGAGCAAGGACGCTACGATCGGGGCTCCTGGCACTACTAGTAGCAAGAAGCTGTTACCAGAAAAATAATGAACATCAGCAGCCATGGATCCTTTGCTCTATTAAAGTTGACGCTTTGCCCGCAGCCATGGATCCCATCACAAACTCCCTCCATGACAGCCTGATGTTTGAGGACTCTGCCAGCCTTCAGGAGCCTCCAGAGATCTCCCAGGAGACCGCATGCTGGGCCGCTGTAGTCTGTCTCTACACCAAAGTGCATCAGCTTCGGCGCACAAAACCAATCCATCTGGCCTGCGCCAACTCTGCTTTGTGCTAATCTAGTATGGGCAAGGTCTTGACAGTAGCACTTGAATGGAACCATTCGCAACAGAACTTTACAGTGGATGACTTGGAATGACACTGCGCACTCCAGCACCTAAAAAACAATGAGTTGTTGCCGGTCGTTTGAAAATATTCCCGCAAATTCGATCCTCTTCTTCCGTAAGATCGCCGATTGTGCATCGTTTCAATCACACGCGCTTCAATGCCCTTGCCCTAATTACTCTGTTTCAATTGGCATTGCCCCCCCAAAGCGGAAATGAGTTGGGCAGAGTCTTGAAAAAGCAAAACATGTGAATGGCGGTATGTCCTTTGACCGTGCTGTGCAGTTCCTTTGGTTAAGATTGTTGAGAAAGACATGGTAAAACATCTGACTTTCGTTTGATAGTGGTTCTTTTGTTTTTTTCTCCTTTGGGGAGCTTGCGGGGACACAGAGAGAGAGAGAGAGAAAGTTGATGAAACACCTCCCACCCATTGAATAACAGCCAGCTCAGGTATTTTCCCGTGACTTCCTTGATCAACATCCGCACAGTGCAAGAATGCGAACTTAGGTAATTTTGATTTGGCAATGAGGAAGGCATGTGGCCCATGATTGTTTGTAAATTGCTTGGAGTTGGAGAGCTGATGCTGTTATGCATTGCGTTCGCCGCCTGTGGTGAGCGGCGTTCGCCGTGAACTGAGTCCACTACCTTAGACAGTGCAACATCCCGGGAGTGACATCCAAAGTGGGAGAATCGCAAGAGCTTGCAGTTGTAGCATGCCTTTTCCAATCTTTTCCAACTATTCCATGTGTTTTGTCGTTTCACGTTCTTCCTGTGTTGCTACGATGCTCACCAAGCAACATAAATTGACAACAAAAGCGACAAATCTTGCAGATCGGCAGGTTTTGCCGTGGGGTTGGCTAAGCTGAGGGGCTTTTTTGGGTCTACTTGGCTTGTTGTGTGAAAACTTCTGGCTGGCATTCTTTTTGTGGCCTGCATGTGGAGCAAGTTTTGGATAGTGCTTTGCACATGACATGCTGACCTGTGGGTTGATAGGAAGGAAGAGATTGGGACAAGAACAGGCGAATATGAAGGGAGAGGCATAAAGAGAGTCGGACATGAAAAACAGCAACACATGTTTTTCTTTAATAACATCGATTCTGTGTCAATCTTCTTAGTCAGGCAACCTGGGACTTTCCCAGCAAGTCTACTTCTGTAGATTGTAGATTTTGAATGTCATGACGCTTGCGCTGCTAAGCTCCTGTGCTTCTCCTCCATTTCATTCTGTCCGCTTTCTCATCCTCTTGATGGCCATTTTCTCCACCGTTTGTCTTCAGATGCCTGGCAGGCTGCTGTGCTACCTTGGTGTGCTCTGTGCGCAACTCCCAAGTCTTTGTCGGGCTTGGTATGGAAGCCAAGCTGAGCTTTCGAGCAAAAGGAAGCGATGTTGGAACTTGGAACGTTCCCTTCATCCATGCTATGTGGCGTGCAACTGGCTCTAAAAATCAAGCTTGCATTATCTGCGTCCTGTCCCCTACCTCCAATGGGATGCACATAGCCGTTCAGGTGGGTAGCTTTGTGCTTTTGTTCTGAGCCTCCTTCCGCGTGTTTGTGTGGCCAGCATTTGGTGATTCAGGCTGGGTATGTTAGCAGCACACGACATTAATAGGCAGATACCTGCAGACATCACAATGCAAGCTGGGGCAGGACCTGACGAGCAACAGTGATGCTGGCGCCAGCTTGCTGCATCTCCTGGAGCTCATGAAGCAGCAACATCAAGAGGTTATGCAGGCATTTTTCTCACAAGACGCTGTGCTGAAGCAACTCCGCCAGCCACAACTGCAGACTGCCATGGTGAATGCCAACGCTGAGCCGTCCAGCCTTCCTGTTGCCAGAACTCCCAGTGCTCTAAATTTGGCACGGTCAATTACACTGGGCACGGGCACGGGGAGCATGGGCAGCGCGGGGAGTGGGATGGCCACCTTGGACCCTCGGGGGTTGAACAGCCCTGGAGTTGTGCCGAAGTCACCAGGCGAGCAGTCATTGGCGCCAAGCCTTTTCACCAGCTACTCGCAGGATGATATGCTTGCGAAGCTAGATGCCTCTAAGGCCCAAAGCCCTCGTATTTCTGAAACCAACGAAGACTGTGAAACACCGATAAAGCGTGTTACCTGCCTCCAGAGAATCACAAGACATGTCGGCTTTGACATTTTCTTTGGTGTGGTGGTGGTGACCAATGCAATATTCATCGGAATTGATGTTCAGACCAATGTTGGAAACGAGTCTACCGAGCGACCAGTTGGAATTCTGGCAGTGCGGTACTTCTACACGGTGGCCTTTACCACTGAGATCCTGTTGCGTTTGGCAGCTGAGGGTCGGAGGTTCCTAGGTTCGGAGCAGCGGATGTGGAATCTTTTTGACACCGTGATCGTGATGGCCGCATGGTTGGAAGTTGGGATTGACATCGCTCGGATTTTCTCAAACACTTCGGATTTGGAGAGTATTGAAGGCGTTTCTAGCCTGCGTGCCTTCCGCATCCTCCGTCTTACAAGAATCTTGAAGACGGCGCAAGTTATTCGTGTCTTGCGATTTGTCATGGCCCTGAGAACGCTAGTGACCTCCATTCTATCCACGCTGAAAGCATTATTTTGGGCTTTGCTACTTTTGTTCTTGATCATCTACATTTTTGCGCTTGTATTTACACAGGCGATGGATGACGACCTTAAGGATCAAGGGGCGGCCCATCTCGATGACCAGAGTTACAAGTATTTCGGTTCGTTGTTCCATAGCATGCTGAGCCTTTTCATGAGCATTGCTGGAGGAGTAAGCTGGGAGGATGTGATCGAACCTTTGATGCGAATCTCACATGTTTGGACTCTTGCCTTCCTTTTCTACGTGGCATTTACATACTTTGCGGCATCTTGTTTGTTCAATAGTTTTCCATTTTGCCTTTTGTTTCTTCCACTGTCCAGTTGTGCCTCTTGATCCCCACATCCTGTTTTGTATTCTCAGCTGCTCTCACACTCAAGGTGCTGAATGTTGTAACGGCATCTTTTTGCCAAAGCGCTATTGAGAGTGCCCAACAAGATCACGCTACCGTGGTCCAATCAATGTTGGAAAACAAGGAAGCTCACCTGGAGAAGATGCGAGCCGTTTTCAGTGAGATTGCAAGCTCCGGAGACGGAGGCATCACATTTCCAATGCTAGAAGAGAAAATCCACTCACCCACTGTTCGTGGGTACCTGGAAACGCTTGGCTTAGATGTGTGGGATCCGTGGTCCTTCTTCAAACTGCTGGACACGGATGGGGGTGGCTCGATCGAAATCGAAGAGTTCTTTATGGGCTGCCTTAGGCTTGGAGGTGATGCTAGGGCCATGGACGTGGGCAAAGTTCTTCAGGACCAGCAGTGGCTCATACGGAACCAAGGGAAATTTCAGGCCTTTGTGGAAGGTGAGATTCGGGGGATTAGTGAGCTGTTGAGCTACTTGATAGAAAGTGCCGGTCACAAAACCATGCCGAGTGCCAGGGACCTCTGAAGGAGCCCACGGCATGCAGGCATTTACGTCTACGTCAATTCGCTTTGTGCGTTTCAAGCCAGACTCGATTTGGGACAGTGAATGTGCAAATATCCATTCTTGTTTCACCGTTTGCGCAACAACGAAGGAAAAGGGTGTGTTTGGCTGCAACATACCACAACAACGAAGCGATACTCTCACGTATTTAGGTGCCACGTTATATCAAGTCATGGTTCCAAACTGCAAGAACCACTGCAACTCAAACAGCGGGTGATTTGGCAACTTTGTGAAGCAAGGCAGTTGGACATGTTCTGCTCTAGAAGATGAGTGGCTCAAGGGGGGCGCTCTGCCGGGATAGAGAAAATGATGGCTGTGCAGCCTGACCAGGCTGGGAGTTTTGATCAGCAAAACTAGGCTCGTTAAAACATGCGCATTCGTGGACCTTGCAGGAGGTTCTTTTGGTGGTTGTTGCTGTTGTCGTCGTGGTGGTGGTGGCGGCTGTTGTTGTTGTTGTTGTTGTTGTTGTTGTCGCCTTGAGGATCGGCATGGAGCCGACCGGTCTGATATGACAACTTTGTTAACGCAGCAGCACCACGAGATGATGGAGGCACTTCGTAGTCAAGATGTCAAATTGAACCAACTGCTGGCAAGTCCGTCTAGGAGGTCATCTTCAATTATAGAGGATGTGGCTGTGGATGGGCCTTTCAGCAGCAGCAGCAGCCATTTGCTTCCAGCCTTACCGCAATTAGAGGGAGCGGCGGTGAACAACAGCCCTGGAAGTTCTTCAAAGTCACCACAGATGTTTCAAAGCTACACATCCCACGATCTCCGGTTGCGTGAGGATGCGACCGAAGCTCATAACAAGGAGGAGACTCGCAAGAGAGTGTCTGTCTACCACTATGGTTACTCAGAGGAGCCAAAACTGTCACTTGTGAAAAGGATTGCTGGAAGTCCTGCATTTGATGCCTTTTTTGCTGGAGTAGTGCTTGTCAACGCGATTTTTATTGGAATTGAAG